ATGGTATTTTTCTGCATGAAACTGTGTATTTTAATAATGAAATGGAGTTCTTTTTTAAAGTTTAAAATATCATTTAATTTTATGTCTTATAGAGAATGTAATGAGTAAAAGATTGTACAAGCGTAATAATTCATCTGTAAACCTAAAAATATACAGCCAATTTTGAAAGAGATGTACCCTAGCTCAGAAAAATGTTATTGAATAGGCTAATGCTGTTGTAATGAAATGCTTCTTCTAATTTAAAAAAAAATGGCAAAGTATAAATAAAAAGTCTATGGTGCTGTAAAAAAAAAAAATAGAAGGTAGGAATTTGCTAGGCAATTAGGGTAAAAAGACCCCAAAGAAAAGTAGCCAGTTTCTTGGCTAAAACTCACAATGTCCTTGGGCCTGTTAGCAACATACTCTATTCCAAAAGCCAAAAATGTCAAAAATATTTGGGAGCTTTTATCTAATTCTAAAAAGATTTTAAGGTTACCTCTTCAAAGGTGGGAATGTTAGAGTAGCCAAAAGCCCCTTAAAAAATTAAAGAAGCTGTCCCATATGTTCCTTTGCTAATAAACCCTATTTTGATGGAAAAAAAAAGAAAAAAAATTAAAGGAGTAAATGAAGTTATCAGAAAAAAAGTGATGGGGGAGATATGGGAGGACTGGAGGAGAGGGAGTGGACATGGATTTGATCAAAACACCTTACATGCTTATAATATATATATGGTCTTTTTGAGACAGGGTCTCCCTGTAGCCCCAGCTGACCTAGAACTTGCCATGTAGACCAGGCTGGCCTCGAACTCAGAGATCTGCCTGCCTCTGCCTCCCAAGTGCTGGGATTAAAGGCATGCGCCACCACGCCCAGCTATATTTGTTATATGGTTAATGCCATCTCCCTGTAGTCTTTCATTTCTTACCTCCAGGACTAGCCTGGTCACTAAGCTCTAGATTCCTTCTAGATTCCAACTAACTTTCACATCCAAGTACACAAACAAGGAGGAGGCGGGTATAGCTCAGTGATAGAGTGCTTACCCAACATGCATGAGGTCATGGGTTCAATACCCAGAACAAGGAGACAGGGATGTAGCTCAGTGAGAGAGTGCTTACCCAACATTCATGAGGTCATGAGTTCAATACCCAGCATAGAAAAAAAAATGTTTGCTTGCCTACCAAGTAGATGATCAGCCCAAGCAAAAACTTGGTCCCAGTTCCCTAACTTCTTTGGCCATTATCTTGATTTCTACTCATTTTCAGCTATTTCCATGGCTATGGCTTAGAAGTCATCTATTCTGGAAATTTTAAATTGAAATGTCTCACTCTAGTGGGAAAAGATAAACACCAAGGTATTACCAGTGGCTTTCTTGATAAGCCAGATTACGTTTGCTGAATGTATTTTCTAGGCACACAATTCTTCAATAGGAAAAAAAGCAGGAGAAACTTTATCATGCTTATCTTTTCTTAGTCTTTCAAGTGTCTGAACCTTTATGTCTAGAGTTTACTATTTGATCCCAATTCAAATCTACTTTTCAGTCTCATCAAGACCTCTAGACTTGGATCCTTCTGGATGGTTAGCTGCTTTTCCTCTATGTGAGGACTGCTCTTAGTCCTCAGCTTGTTATGATATTGATCACACTGTACTGTAATGTTTGTTGACATGTGGATCTTTCTCTTTGTAGGCTAAGTTCCTTAGGCTCAAACAACATGGCTTGGGATTGTGGACCCATGGGACTCTGTGCCTGTAGAATCTAGCTCAGTGTGACTAATTCAAAATGACACAGGCTTCTAAATGAATGAGTAAATACTGAACTAGCACTGACCTGTATAAGCCGGATTCTGGTTCAAATTCTAATTCTTCCACTTTCATATGTCACTGGGAAGGCCAATCCAGTTCTTGGAATCTTAATTTTATCATCTGTAAAGTGGGGTGAAAATCTTCGTCCCACCCACTTCATAGCATTGTCAGGGAGCATAACTAATATTTGTAAACATTAGGTATGTGAGTTATTATTACTTGTGCAGACTGGCTAGAACACATGATCCCATGTATTAGAACTGCTTTCCTTGGGTCACTGGAATTGCCTTTTTATTGCTACTTGACATTAGTGGTTTCAGAGCTGACTAACCATTAATTGTTCCATAGTGTTTACTTTTCATTCCTCTAAAGGAGATAAGGCACGGTTGGGGTATCTGCTTTCCTGATACTGTACCTACTCACTCCTTTTACAGGGAACATGTAATTATTAAAGATGGAGAAATGCCTCCCAGGGCTTTCTGGAAGAATTTTATTTTATTTTTATTTTATTTTGTTTTTTTAAAGACAGGGTCTCATATAGCTCGAGTCAGCCTAAACTTCCTATTAGTCAAGGATGATGCCTCTGAACTGGTCTCTTGTCTCTACCTTCCAAGTGCTGCTAATTACAGGTGTCACTAATCCTGGCCTAGGATGAAGCACCCTAATTTTTTTTTTTTTTGGTCTTTTTGAGACAGGGTATCCCTGTAGCCCCAAGCTGTCCTGGAACTTGCTTTATAGACTGGGCTGGCCTTGAACTCACAGAGATCCACCTGCCTCTGCCTCCCAAGTACTGGGATTAAAGGCATGCACCACAAGCTTGGCTAGCATTCTTTTTTTACTTTTTAAAATATTTATTATTTTAATTTTTAATTTTTTTTTTGTCTTTTTGAGATAGGGTCTCCCTGTAGCTCCAGCTGTCCTGGAACTCACTGTGTAGACCAGGCTGGCCTCGAACTCACAAAGATCCACCTGCCTCTGTGCTGGGATTAAAGGCATGCGCCACCAAGCCTGGCATTATTATTTTTATTTTATGTGTATGCGTGTATTACCTGAGTGTAGGTAAGTGCACCTGTGTCATACAATGCCTGCGGAGGATAGAAGACGCTGTTGGATCCCCTGGAACTGGAATTTTGGACAGTTGTTAGCTGCCATGTGGGTGCTAGGATTCGAACCTGGGTCTTCTGCAAGAACAACTAGTGTTCTTAACTGCTGAGCTGTCTCTCCAGCCCCCTGACTAGCATTCTAATTCTTTACAGGGCTACCAACTACAAGTAAGCAAAGATAGGGAACCACAAAATTAACAAAGAGAATGGAGAACTCACTTTGCTCTTGAAGTCTGAACCACAAACAAATCAATATAGAGATCTTTAAGCCAACTAAATAAAAATGTGTCCAAGTGGGATCTGTATTGTGAATCATTTTTTGTTACATTTAACACGCATGTGCAGGTCAGAGGACAACTCTGTGGAGTCGGTTCTCTCCTAATACCATGTAGGACTCAGAGATCACACTCAGGTCTTCAGGCACGACAACAAGCACCTTTACCCAATGAGCCATCTCACTAGCCCAGGAATCAAATCTTATTCTACTAGAAGATCCAAATTCCAGGAAGGGTGAACTTCAGTGGTTCTTAAACTTACCTGCACATTAGGGATTATTTGACATTTACTCCAAAGCCTAGACCATACCTGCTAGGGATGAATTGTGTACCTGAAAATTCATGTGTTGAGGCCTCAACTGCCAATGTGACATTTTTTGGAAATAGTGCCTTAAAGAAGTAGCCAAGGTGTTTCTTCATATACGAATAATAGAGATCTCTTTCTTTCTACACAAACACTGAGAGAAGGCCACATAGAGACACAGTGATAATGCAACAGTCTGTAAGCCAGGAAGTGAAGTCTTACCAGAAAGCAATCCAGATGCCACTTCCCCCATGTCCTGGCCACTCTGTACTCCAGTGCCCAGTTGAAACTGTTACCTTAGTCTCCAAAACGCTGGGACTACAGATGCAAATGTCATGTCTGGCCCTGATGGTACCCTGACCTTGGACTTCTACCCTCCAGAACTATGAGAAAATAAATCTCTGTTGTAAAGTCACCTAGTCTGTGGTATTTTACCAGGAAGCCCAAACTAATGCAACACCCCAAATCAATTAAATATCTGCTTCTCAATAAAACAGACATCAGAATTTTAGAACTTCCTGGGTGATCTAAATCTCTGCACAGGCTCCTGATTTCATTTTAACTTCAAACTGTGATGGAACTACACTCTCTTTCCTTTAATTAGAGTTGTATAAAAATAAGAATAAAATTATCAGAGTTTATAGAACCACAGCAAAACTTGCCTCAAAACTCATCTGGAAAGGTGTGACCCCTGAAGTGTCCTGAGAACAGCCACCTTCCTCTGAAGTCCAAGTCAGCTTCGCAGAGAATCTGGGCAGCAGAAATTGTATTTCTATATAAGAAGAAATGCCAACAAAACAGAATGAGCAGTTTGGATAAGCACCAGGGTCTCTGTTATTAAGCCCATGAGCCAAGAAGGCTTTTCTCTGATGAAAAGATTACCTGAAAAATTTAAAATATGGGAACTGGCTACGTATCAGCAAATTCTTTGAACATTTACAATTACTTTCTGGAGTAAAAATATTTAATCTCATGTTTTCAATTTTTCAGATTTGCTAAATCAATTTGAATTTTCAGTTAATTTTCAAAAGGTTGTGTCCAATGCCAGAATTCTTCAGAACTTACTATTCTACTTGGTAGTCCTGCATTTTCAATAAATCAACTCACTACTTAATAAGCACAAGTCCAGTAAGGGATCTAATTTAGAGCTAAAAATAGAAAGAAAAAAAAAAAACCTGGGTGTGGTGGTACACGCCTTTAATCCCAGCGCTTGGGAGGCAGAGGTAGGCAGATCTCTGTGGTTCAAGGCCAGCCTGGTCTACATAGTAAGTTCCAGGCCAGCTGGGGCTACAGAGAGACCCTGTCTCAAAAAGACCAAACAAAAACGAAACAAAACAAACAAAAAAACCAAAAAAGACTGTTTCAGACATGTGCCTAATATAGTACGCATTTTAATAAGATAGCCTTTAAGAAACTCAAATTCTTGCCAATTTTAATTTGTGAATTAACCCCTTGGTGTATTTATATGTGTTGACTCAGATCTTTCTTTCCACAAAGCATCTGTGAGTCGTGGATTATCTGTGACAAAGAGAATGACCAAGTTTGCACCATTTTTCTTCTCTAGTTCCTGGTACTCACATTACCAAGTAAAACATTGAATCTCCCATTTTATAAAATATCATCCCTTTCCATAAGGATAGAACTAAAGAATAAAGCCCACTATTCACAAGTTAAAGGAGGTCAGCAATGTTGATATGACATGCATGAATTCAGCTTGAAAAGTCTAATATCAAACCCTAAAATACCAGTACAAGTATCTCCTAGGGTCTTCATACGCACATTTAAGGATGCTTTCACCAAGGCAAGAAAGTATGAGCTTTCCCAAGATAAAAATCTATATATCCTTAATGGGTAACATTTTTCTCATCACCAATTTGTTTTTCAAATCTAATTTGGTCACAGTGCCTAGATAACCTGGCAGTAAGGTTATGCTACGCTGAAGTTCAATGACCTTGGCACTGAACCCAGATACCTTGCATCAATCTTCAGTTTTACTACTGACTGACTTCCTGATCTAAGGCAACCCTCTTTTCTGATTCAATTGCCTTTTTATGAAATAAGAAACAACTGTTCCCAAGTCCTACTTCTCTTTGAGACAGAATAGAGATGTGGTTTGTCAATAACCTTGAGGTCTTTAGAATAATCTGTTTTTTTTTTAATGTGTATGAGTGTATTGCCTACATGTAGGTGAGTGCACCCGTGTCGTGCAATGCCTGGAAGAGGCTCTCGGATCCCCTGGGACTGGAATTATGGACAGTTGTTAGCTGCCATGTGGGTGCTGGGATTTGAACCCACGTCTTCTGCAAAAACAACCAGTGTTCTTAACCACTGAGCCATCTCTCCAGCCCCCGTCTTTAGAATAATCTTAATAACCATTTAAAACAAATTGTGTCGGGGTTCAGTTCCCAGCACCCACATGGTGGCTAACGACCATCTGTAACTCCACTTCCAGGGAGTTACACCCTCTTCTGGCCTCTGTAGGCACTCCACACACATGGTGCACTTATATACATGCAGGCAAAACACTCATTTACATAAAGTAAAAATAATAAAATATTTTCTAAAAAATAAAATAAATTTTGCTTTAAAAATAAAAAACAGAGGACTGGAGCAATAGCTCAGCAGTTAAGAGCACTGGCTGCTCTTCTAGAGGACCTGATTTTGATTTCCAGCACCCATACAGTGGCTAACAACTGTCCGTAAGTCCAGTTTTAGGGAATCCAATGCCCTCTCTGACCTCCATGGACACTGAATGACATGGGTGCACTTACATATATGCAGGAAATACACACAAACAAAAAATAAATATTTTAAAAATTAAAAACGGGCTGGAAAGATGGTTCAGCAGTTAAAAGCTCTTCCAGAGGACCCAGGTTCAGCTCCCAGCATGCACATGACAAGTGACAACTGCCTGCATGCAAGTGGTGCACATACACACATTCACACACACAGTGAAAACACTCACATGATGAAAGGAGAGAACAAACTCCTAAAAATTGTCCTCTGATCTCCACATGTGTGTTATGATGTACACACACTCTAAACAAATGTAAAAAATTATAAAATATTTACCATTCACAAGCCCTCACTGCAAATACCACTAAAGCAACCATTACAACCATTTAAAAAGAGCTAACATTTTTCAGGTAGTGTAAAGGGAAAACTACCTCTTGATACAATTTTTCAACTATTAAAGCTGATGTGATATTCTTAACTGTGTGACAATGTGAACGCCCACCAGAACCACTTATTGAGGTCTCTCCAACAATGAGAGTACAGAATTTGGAGGCTAAATGGCATTAAGCCAGGAGTTTGGAAGATGTCTTGGTTTTCCTTAAACCTACCATATTTTAAAAAATATTTTATTATTTTTATTTTATGTGTATGAGTGTATTGCTTGCACATGGGTAGGTGCACCCATATTGTGCAGTGAGTGCCTGCGAAGGTCAGAAGAGGGCATCAGATTCCCTGACTTTCATCTGACCTGAAGTTATGGATGGTTGTTAGCTGCCATGTGGATGCTGGGAACTGAACCCAGGTCCTCTGGAAGAGCAGCCAGTGCTCTTAACTGCTGAGCCATCTCTCCAGGCCCTAAACCTACCATTTTAAATGTGTAAAAGAAAGACTGCTAAAATAACAATCAACATTTTTTCAGAGGAAGAGAACAGGACATAGAATATGACCATACATGGCCTGATATAAACAAAATTTTACCAGCCAGATGTGGTGGCACATGCTTGTAATCCTAGCATGCAAGAGGATTAGTTCAGGTTTAAGGCCACGCTGTGATATATAGTAAATACCAGGTTAGCCAGGACTATATAGTGAGACCCCATCTTAAAATGAATAAATAATAAAAACTTGAAAGACATGCAAAGAAATATGCAATGTAAACAAGTCAAGAAAAATAGTGGTGGACACACCTTATAAACTTAGCACTCTGGACGTGAGGCAGGACTGCCATGAGAGTATGAGACCAACCAAAACTAAACGGCAAGACCTTTTCTGGGGCGGGGGGCAACCAATAGAAATAGGACTTGATAGGGTACAGATGCTAAATTTAAGAAAGATTTCACAATATCTATCATAAATATGTTCATTTACAAAAGAGTTACAGTTAACTTCGGTTGATCTAACACATAGAAACAAAAGCAGAGCATGCCAAATAGTTTCTGCCACCATTTCTACCAAGTGACACACACAAGAAACCTGTATATCCTGTGCCTGCACTTTCAGGTGATCCTTGGTTGTTTAAACGGTCTTCCAGTGGAGAAACGTCTCCCAGAAGGATTGCTGAAAACACAAAGTTATGATTTTACCCTGTTCCTTTTGGTTCTTTTATCACATTGCATCAGCAGAAGGAAAAATTAAAACAGATATGTTCAAATACTTAAAGTAATGAACTAATGGAGAATATCATCAGCGAAATGAACATTATTTAAAACCAAATGGGGAGTCTGGAGAGACGGCTCAGCGGTTAAGGGCACTGGCTGCTCTTGCAGAGAACCTGGGTTTGATTCCCAGCATCCACATGGTGGCTAACAACTGTCCATAACTCCAGTTCCAGGGATTCTGACGCCCTCTTCTGACCTCCGGAGGCATTGCACAACATGGTACACCTATCTACATGCAAGCAATATACTCATACACATAAAATAAAAATAAGTAAAATATTAAACGAAGCAAACCAAATGGGTCTCTTCCTAAGCCAGCACTCCACAAAGACAAAGCCATGTTCAGCTCAAGGGTCAAGATCATGAAGCCTAACAGCAAGAGAACAGATAGGTCCAAACTGGGCCTTTCCTAGGTGATGATCAAGCTAGGGAGGGACATTGACCTTTAGGGCCAGGTGTAAGAACTCAAATCAAAGCAGTTGAAAGCTATCATAAGTATTGTTCCAGGTCCTCAAACAGAAATCTTTCTAGATAATCCAAGTTCAGCTGGTACGCAAATTGGAGAAAAAGTTCAGTGCAAAGCAAGTCATCCTTATTGCTCAGAGAATTCTGCCTAAGCCAGCTTGAAAAAACACTGTATGAAAAATAAACAAAAAGGATCCCAAAAGCATACCTGACCGCTATGTATGATGTAGTCCCCAAGGACTCTTCCCAACTCTTCCCAAGTGAAACTGGATGGCAGCTGGCTCATAAAGGTTCCTTGAAACAAAGCCTACCTAACAGAACATGGAATACAAGGCTGAAGCATACAGACAAGGATGCTAATTTTGAATTCACAAGGCTTTAACTGTAAAGAAATATGAGGGCCAGGGTTGAGTGCTTGGTGTTAAGCCTGACAACTTGGATCCCCAGAACCCACATGAAAGAGAGAACTGACCCCCACAAGTTGTCCTCTAACCACCATGCTCAGTATGACACACATGTACCCACATACCCATACCCAACACCCCCCAACATACATACACACACTGAAAAAAAATGCTTAAATGATAACTAAGTTTAGACACAAGAAAAGAGTCATGCAAATCACTGATGACGAATGAAAAAAATATCCAAAATCAGGGCAAAGTTTCATACACATGTAGTCCCAGCTACTCAGAAGATTGAGGTGGGAGGACTGTTATCAACTAAGAAGCTCAAGGCCAACCTGCACAACAGAGTAAGACATTAGCTCTCTTCCACTAAAGCAATATTACCCAACCTGAAGAACAGAAGTTAAAAAAATGAAGAAAAGTAAGTAGTCTTCAGAACCTGTAAGAAAATATCAACCAGTCTAAACTATATGTAATGGAAGTCCCAGGGGGGAAGGAAAAGAAGA